TCTGCAGTATTCTGGTGGTACCACTGTTAGGAGACTGGGAAGTTGTGTGGACTACCTGCTGTCTGTCCTGCATATCTGGGGAGCGTGAGCTAGACAGGCACCTGCCAGGCCCTGTCTGCCATTCCTTTGGTCATGGCTGACACCAGGACTGCTCCTACCTCCAAGAAGGGTTTGAACTCAGAAAGTCCGCTGGTGGGCACAGTTGTGTCATGTGGAGCCCGTTGCTATACATCCTCTGCCTAGGCTGACCATCAGAGAATGGGGATGCACCACATGTAATGAACATCTCAGAATAAAAACAGAGTTGAGCCTGTTTTCACTTATCATAGAATTATAGAATCACAGAATCATAGAATCATAGAATCATAAAATCACCAAGGTTGGAGAAGACCTAAAAGATCACCCAGTCCAACCGTTCACCTATTCCCAATAGCTCCCACTAAACCATGTCCCTCAACACAACATCCAGTCTTTCCTTGAACACCCCCAGGGTTTCGGTGACTCCACCACCTCCCTGGGCATCCATTCCAGTGCCTGACCACCCTTTCTGAAAAGTAATACTTCCTCATGCCCAGCCTGAATCTCCCCTGCCGTAGCTTGAAGCCATTCCCCCTGGTCCTATCACTAATGACACGAGAGAAGAGGCCGACCCCCAGCTCACTACAGCCTCCCTTCAGGAAGTTATAGAGAGCAATGAGGTCTCCCCTGAGCCTCCTCCTTCTCCAGGCTGAACATTCCCAGCTCCTTCAGCCTCTCCTCATATGGCCTGTGTTCCAGACCCCTCACCAGCTTTGTTGCCCTCCTTTGAACATGTTCCAATGTCTTTCTTGCAGTTAGGGGCCCAAAACTGGGCACAGTACTTGAGGTGCAGCCTCACTAGTGCTGAGTACATGCACATAGTTGTGCATGGACAAGTCAGGACTCAAAAATGCATTCATGTAATGCTACATTATCAATCTGTCAAACTCTGACAGCAGAAACTGTACAAACTTTTTAAGATAGAATCAGATATGGTTGAAACTTATTTATCTTTGACCTAGCCAAATGTTTGTGAGTGAAGAATGATCTGGACAGAACACATCAAGAAGCATTTCTACAGAAATTAAATACAGAATTTCTTTTGCTAATGTCCAAGATGATTGTAATCAAGAGGATTACAAGGACGGGTTCAACTGAAACCAAGTTACTTCACTTTCTCTTCAGGGTCTGGTGTATTTTGTGTATTTTTTGACTGAGCTGGGAGAAAAAGAAAGACATAACTTGTTTTTATTGCTCTCTTACAATTAATTTTCAAACTATGCTGACTGTGCAGTCAATTCACAGCACTCGTAGCTGCTGACTTCCCCACAACCCAACAGAGACAACAAAAACCTCTACTGAAAGAGATTATTATCTGTATCCTGGAGATCATTCTTGATTAATAACAGTAATGATTTGTGTTCATCATAGGACAGAACACATCTATCACACAGATAAACAATCTGTTCTTCCTCTCTGAAGCACTGCTTGTAGGTGTGAAGGAGACTGTTGAGGATTCTTGTTTTGAAAAGCTTGGGCAAACATGTCTAGCTGAAGTATAAGACTTCATCCCTCGAATACAAGTTTCTGTTGCCTTGGCTTATTTACTGCATAGACGGGAAAAAATTCATAGCTCTGTACCCTTGGCTGCATCAGAATCTCATAGTATGCATCAGAATCTCATAATCAGTGGGAGGCACTGCTGATTATTTAACTTTGGGGCAGTGAAAATGTAACTTTTGGTAATTCTTTCTAAGATTATTAGCTCTGTGAATCCTTAGATAAATAAAACTGTAAGCTGACTCTTAAACAGCCACAGTTTGCTTAGCAAGCAAATACTTTGCACGATCATTCCTGAGAGAAATAGTATTACACTGTAACAGGAAATCACAGGTCATTTGTGAGAAAGTTCAGTTCTTGACTGCAAATTCTTTCAGAAAAGATAGTATTCTGTCATATATCAGTAATTGCGTCCTGGGTTTGAACTTGAGAGTCCAGGTGTTCCAGTAACGTGTGTCTGGAATAATAATGTATTGCAGACACATTTTCTCGGCAAAGTTACATCTGGGATTTGCATGGATTTCTGTTTAGTTTATGCTGCAGAAGAAGAGAGGAAGCAAGGACTATTTGAAGAAGAAATATGCTGTTATCGTGCCTGACCAGCCTACCTTCTCACTGGCAGAGATCAGTGGCTCTGCAATGAAAGAGAGAGCACAGGGTGTTGTATAACAGATCTAGATTGGGTAAATGGACAATAAGGTGGGTGGAAATTTGGCAGGATAACTGGGCTCAGAGGGTGGTGATGAGCAGCACAAAGTCCAACTGGCAGCTGGTTGCTAATGGCATGCCCGAGGGATTGATACTAGGGCCAAGGACGTTAACGGCTTTATTTACAATTTGGACAACGGAATTAAGTGTGTGGTTAACATGCTCCTTCCAGTGTAAATTATTCTAATGGTTATTTTTATTTAGGGATTCACAAAATAGGTAGGGCTGGACACAAGCAGATGAGGCAGATGAGCAGATGAGGTGAATGTGTTAAGTCTCCTTCCTTGTAAAAAATGCTTATTCCTCAGCAGTGACTTGACAGTGTAAAAGTGGATTCAATAGCATGCCAACTTCATACAATCACAGAATCATAGAACTGCTCACGTTGGAAAAGACCTTAAACATCATGGAGTCCAACCGCAACCTGACCATATTACCCTAACTCTAATAACCCTCCACTAAATTCCATTCTGAATTGGCATTACTACTGTTGACTGCGTTTCTGCTCCAGGGACTGCCTTTTACATGTAAAAAGAGTCACTAAATAATGGCATTTCTCTTTTATCTGAAATCGTAAGAGCCAACAAGATAGATAGCCTTAGTGCTGTTTCAGATGCCACTTTCATGTGGTTCAGCATCTCCTCAAGAGCTCTTCTTACTCTTCTTACTCTTCCACTAGCCAATGCATTCTTCTCTAGCACTTGCTTCAAAGCCCACATCTGCCACTTTTTCTCAAGATAAAAGTGATATAAATACCACTACTGTGTATGATGATAAAAATACTGCCCCATGGTAGATGAACAGTTTAGCATTTGCCCAGATTAAAAACAAATTTTGAACATTCAGGGGACAGCTGTCAGCTGGATTGTGTTTTTAATATTCTGAGGTTTGGAATCATTTTGGGGGGTGGATTTTGTGGAACTCTGTACAGAATATCAAATCATAACAAAACAAAAATCACAACAACAACCAAAAGAAACCCCACCAAAGCTCAACAAAAATAAAAAAGAAGAAAAAAGAACCACTTTGGCTAGTTATTTCTAGATGCCTATTCCCACACTCGTCTTCCTATTTTGCTGTTCATATCTTCTGTTTTCAGTGTGCCTGACGTACACGATATGAGTCATCCTCATCACTTACGTTTCCTGACTAACAGCAGTTTGGGATGAGACTTTTTTTCCTTTCGTCTGACGTTTTCTTTAGGAGTAAGAGGCAGGGAAATATTTTAAAGTAAATCTAGTATTTAAAAATGTTGCCAAGCTAGCGTGGGAACTTTTCAGTGAAATCCAGAAAGGAACATATTGTCAGTTTCCTCCTGGGATTTTGATTCTTCCATCCCAAGAGGAAAAGCTTTGAGGAGTACAAGGGCATTTCATTTTCCATACCATCCAAATTAGCCATACTAACTTTTCTTTATCTTTGCCATTCAGAATTTTACTCCTGAGGTTACTATATTTCAAAATGTCTTGAGCATTCCTTCCATTCACCTGCCTGGCCTCCTTCCTGTATGTTTCCTCCATGCTCCATTCTAATTTCTCGGCTTCCTTCTACCTGCTCCTGATTCCTTTCCATCTTCCTTGGGTACCAAGTATCTAAATTATATGCTGAGAGAAAACAAGCATCTCATTGCATTGTAGAACCACATCGTCCTTAATGCCTACAGGAAAAATACAATTACTCAAGCACTCTTTTTATTCACTTGGAGAATTTTCCCCATACATATCTGTGTTTGGTTTTTTTTTTCTCATTACATTTTTAGATGGAGAAGTGAGATCAAATCAATGTAATCTGCAGAAACAACTGTAGATACAGATTCACAGCATCAAATCCTTGTCTTCTTATCTGGATTTTCTTTTGTTTTCAGATGCAGCTGCAGCTGAGATGAGACTGGAGCACAAAAACCACAGCAGAGAACAGATATAATTCACCTCAAAACAATGCAAGGCAAATATATTTGTAAATCTTTATGACATACAGGAAAACACAACTTTTATCACTCCATTTTAGTCACTGTCTCACGTTTTCAAAGGCACAGTCCACAGCAAAGACAATGTTCTCTTTTAGATGTCAGGGAGATGGCTCATTAAGCGCAATCTCCTAGCAGCCACCTGAAGAAGCTTTTCCTTGTCACATCTGATGATGTTCAGTGCTTCCAGTTAAGTAATGCATAGTCTTATACCAGAGCAATATTTTTTCCCATAAAAAGTACTTCCATTAGTATTTTCTTTCCCATTCCTATTATAATATACACATTTTTTTAAAAGAGCAAGGTTGGGATTTTCTTTTTTTCCTTAAGACGTGATTAAAATTCTCAACTTTTTAATTTTTTTTTGCCTTCTTGCAGAGGCAGAGAATCAATAATCACCTTCAAAAAGAATGCGCATCAGAACTTGACAGAATACAATGCATCCCTATCACGCATGTGTGCCTCAGACTGACTCCACATGACTACTACTGTCCATTGTAGCTTAACAAAAATTAAAAAATAGAAAGGAAGGGAAGGGAAGGGAAGGGAAGGGAAGGGAAGGGAAGGGAAGGGAAGGGAAGGGAAGGGAAGGGAAGGGAAGGGAAGGGAAGGGAAGGGAAGGGAAGGGAAGGGAAGGGAAGGGAAGGGAAGGGAAGGGAAGGGAAGGGAAGGGAAGGGAAGGGAAGGGAAGGGAAGGGAAGGGAAGGGAGAAAAGAATTGAAATACAAAAATTCTGAGTATAGGGCTTCTGATGTACTTTGAAGTTAGCAGTTCATCAAGTGTACCATTCTGGTGCTGGAACAATTCATAAAAGATTTATATTCTCCAGAAGCATTTATCATGTAATGACAAGAACAATGAAATGCCCCCTTTTTAAGAATGTCATAAAAGATGAGTTTTCTCTTCAGTACCCAACTACAATGAAGCTTTATGATACAGATGTTGCAACATCAAATAAGGAATTGCCAAGTGGACAACTGTGTCTTGATTTGTATAAAGGACCTTCTACCCACAAATTCAGTTTGCTGGGATAGGAATTTGAAGGTTTTAGCTGGACTTTACAATTCATGCTAAGCTCTTGTTTCAGTCATGCTGCTCATCTTAATAAACCCAGTAGCCAGTTAACTATATAACCTAGAAAGTTTTTACTGGGGGGGAGAGTTCCTTGTAGGATTTAAAAATATATATATTAGCCACAGCAGTTTAGGGGGAATTTTACTGAAACTGTTGTACCTTTATAGTCTCAGGGAGGGGCAGGGATGTTGGTAGCCTCTCCTCCCAAATGCAAGCAACCTTACTGAGGTCAGCAGAGCTCATTGTTTCGTTGCTCAGACATACATACTACTTGAAAAAAAAAATCTTCATTTCAATGCATTTATTCAAGTACTTGGAGTTGTGCACTCCCTTAGAAGCCTTCCTGAATGAAAATTTTGAGATGACATTCTTTTGGTTGCCTCTGTCATTTTCTACTTGGCAGTCCTCTTCCTCACAAAAATGATTGGGTTTGCTCTCCATCATCTTGGTGAGTAGTTATAAACATATCCACAAGTCTTTGGATGCCAATACAAATGCCAAAAGTGGCAAAATAATGGTACTCCATACTTCTTTAGATGGCATTTTCACTTTTATTGACAAAATCTTGCTCTTTTCATCAGCCACACTTGTCCATTTTGATTTATTTTTATATGCACAGCTTTTAGCATCATAATGAAATATTATTTACAAAGTTAGATCCAACTGAACGTAGGTGGAAGTATCTAGAAAGCAGGAGCACTATTCAAAGCACTGACTTTAAAATATTTATTATTTGTGAAACATATTCATTATTCTTGGCTTGTCTCTGTTCACTGCTGTTATTTATCTTAACACAGCCCTCACTTCAGTGTGAACTCAGTCTGCCCTATAGAAAAAAAATCTAAATGCTTTAAATCACAATCTCACACTAACAGTAAAAGATAATATCTCCACTTTGTTTCGCCTGCAAAAACGTCTGGGCCAAGAGAACTGCCAAAACTCATAAAACTCTTACGTTACCTATTGATTTATTGGCATGAATCTATCATATCTTTATATGATGTTTACTGGTGTTGACTCCAGTTCATGCCAACATTAACTTCCTTTAATTTTAACTCTCTGTGTGTACTTGGATATCTTTTGGTAGTGGAGATTTTTTTTTAGTTTGGTATGTTGATGTTTTTTTGCTGTTGTTTTGTTTTTTGTTTTTTAAAGGAAATACAAGTCTGTCTTCAAATTTGGTGTACAGAGAAATGGAAGATCTGCTCAGGTTGATAAGAATCATGGAATCACAGAAACACCAAGGTTGGAAAAGACCTACAAGATCATCCAGTCCAGCCATCCACCTATCACCAATAGTTCTCACTAACCCATGTCCCTCAGCACAAAATCCAAACATTCCTTGAACACCTCCAGGGTTGGTGACTCCACCACCTCCCTGGGCAGCCCATTCCAGTGCCTGACCTCTCCTTCAGAAAAGTAGTATTTCCTAATGTCCAGCCTAAATCTCCCCTGGCACAGCTTGAAGCCATTCCCTCTAGTTCTACCACTGGTTATACAAGAGAAGAGGCCGACATCCAGCTCACTACAACCTCTCTTCAGATAGTTATGGAGAGCAATAAGGTCTCCCCTGAGCCTCCTCTTCTCCAGGCTGAACAATCCCAGCTCCTTCAGCCACTCATAATGCCTGTGCTCTTTCTGTTTTCAATATTGAGATTAATGCAGAATTGAGCCTAAAGAGATATGTTCCAGTATCTTCTTACTTGACATTGTCATTACTTCAGACAGTCTTTTTTTTTTTTTTTTTTTTTTTTTTTTTATATAAAAACAGCATTGAATCTCTTGCTATAATGAGACCAAGCTCTTTATAGTACAAAATGTAATCAGCCAATTTCCATTACTATCGTGTATGACAGTATGACTTCATTCCTAACACAATTTACTTAAATTGAACATTTTGGCAGATGTGTGCATGAGACTAGAGGAGCATAACTTCTATTAAATCATATCCTGAACAATAACAGATTGTGTTGTAGATCTAGCTATGGAGAAGTTTCCAGCTCTGCTCATAACTTATTGCACGTTATAAAAGACATTAGGAAAGTATACCCAGCAAAAGACTGAAAAACACTCCATAATCTGAACAGAAATGGCATGCACAGATAAACAAGGTGATTTGTGATGAAGAGGCTTACATAGCATTGCTTTGTAGTCAATAAAGGTCAGTGAACATGTCCACTTGTAGTGATTTCAGAGACACGGATGAGAGGAAATGAACAATCCTTTGGTGAAAAAATGTCTTTTTCTTCTGCTCTTCTGGACTCATATACTGTCTTCCTTCGGATAAATGATAAACACAGAACACGACTGTTGTCTCCGCAGGTAGAGAACTGTGCAGTCACTGTGGTGTTTTTACTCATTATTTGTGTATGTGCAAATGAGAGTGTTTGCTGTGTAGTACTGAATACAGGTAAAAGAAATAATCCTAGCCCTTGGACTATAGTTGTACAAATGTCTGAGAAATCTTCATTTGATTCATTAATAATCCATTAATCTGTGATTCATTAATAACATGCTCCAACTCTTGCCTAAACACAGGGGTACTTACATGGAAGAATGCACTTGAAGATGAAGCAGAACTGTCAACTACAGACCAACATAGGCAGGCCAGCCTATGCTGGGTTGAGGGATGAGTGCTAGAACTTAATCTGTGGAAAGTCAGAATGACCAAAATCTGCAGCAGTTTTCACAAAGTTTATTTGAACTTTATTTTTCATCTTCTCAATGGGATTGTCTGGTCTAAATCTAACAGATTTCATCTGGGTTCTTTCAACTTGAACTGTGTCAACTTTATACTACCAAAGGGCAAAATTATTTCAAGTGCAGCATTAGATGTGAGGCATTCTGTACTTTTGACAGTTGTTGGCAAAAACCTAAAAGCAGAATTGGTAAAGCTCTTGGAATGAGTCCAGAGGAGGGCCACTAGGATGATTGGAGGTCTGGAGCATCTCTGCTATGAAGAAAGGTTGAGGGAACTGGGCTTGTTTAGCTTGGAGAAAAGAAGGCTCCAGGGAGACCTCATTGTGGCCTTCCAGTATTTGAAGGGAGTGTATAAACAGGAGGGGGAATGGCTGTCTACAAGGGTGGATAGTGGTAGGACAAGAGGAATGGTTTTAAACTGAGACAGGGGAGGTTTAGGTTAGATATTAGGAGGAAGTTTTTCACACAGAGGTGGTGAGGCACTGGAACAGGTTGCCCAAGGAGGCTGTGGATGCCCCATCTCTGGAGGCATTCAAGGCCAGGCTGGATGTGGCTCTAGCAACCCAGTCTGGTGGTTGGCAACCCTGCACATAGCAAGGGGATTGAAATTAGATGATCACTGTGGTCCTTTTCAACCCAGGCCATTCTATGATGCTATAAAGCGTTATTGGTTCTTCAGTATCTGGAGGGAAATGTAAACAAACAAACCAATAAATAAATCCACCACCACTGCAAAGTTAATTACATTCTCTAGACCTTGATTCTGTAGTAAACTTCACTATTCAAAAGTGAGCCTTTGGGAATTGAAGAGCATTGAGCCAACAATGTCCTTGTGTAACTATTTAACTTCCAGCACACCAGAGGCCGCTCTGAAATCAGGAGGGCTACTTGTACATTAAATATTGGCCACACTCGATGTATTGTTGACTGAGAGCCAACGGACATCTCTCACGTGGTTATTCCTTTAAATAAAGCAGCTGGATTTAGCAGCCAAAAAAAAAAAGAAGTCTGCTTTGGGAAATGATGAAGTAGAAATCTACCTGAATGAAATCTACCTTGGCTGATAAAATAATTTCTTTTGGGAGGGGGTTATTACTTATAGCTTGTAACTTATAGGCACTTCCATTAGAGTTCTTGTCTACCTACGGAGAGTGTGAAATGCCATTCATATAGGGTCAGTGGTGTCTAATGACCTCAGAAATTCCATAGCTGTGTCACCTGGAGCAACTGAGCTGTTCTCCATCATAAAGTGTTCAAATTTGCCTAGATGTTTCTTGTGTTTTAGATTTCTTGTGGAGTAATTCTTATTTAACTTTAATTTTTAAAATTAAAAACTTTTTTTTTTTTTTTTTCCATTTCCATTTCTACTAACAGCCCCTCTTCATTTGAATAAATATACAGATGGAAAGCTATTTTCAGAAGTGCTCAACATTGGCTTATATTCTGTGGAAGTCAGCAGTAGAACTCCTACTGACTTTTACTTGGGAGTGGAACTATGTCAACACTGAATGGTTTTGAAAAGCACAGCATGTCATTTTGACTAATGCTGCCCAGGTATAATGTGAATATATTAAGTCAAAACATGTATTTAAATATGTCACAATATTTTCTGTCCACATTTTCTCCTTAACATGGATGCCTTGCCTGCACAGGCAGAGGCATACCACAGAATAAGTCGAATACTTCCTATGGATACTGCTGCTTAATTCAAGCTGCTGTTACAACATGTTATATAGCTTACAAAGTTTAGCTAAAATGTGTTTGAAGTATACTAGCCATGTGCATTCTCGCTGCTATACATAATTTCTTTCCTTTTGTGTTTTTTCTTCTTTTTTTAACACAGATGCCTGAAGGAATTTAGGTAATTTGTAATTGATCTTGAACAGCATACCATTAACATCTGAATAATGATAGTAGATACTGCTGTTCCATAGGAACAGAATAAAAACATCCTTAATATGGTGATTCCCACGTATATATGTATGTATTCACACACATGTGTATGTATATATATAACTATGTATGGTGGTAATTTCAGCACAGTGATTTTTAATGCCTCTTCCCATCTAGATTCTGAAGAATGAGGCTGTGGTTCCATGACAATTGAAGCCTACATAGATTGGGATGACTGCAAAACCAAATCTTATCCCTGAAAAAGATACATATTTCCACCAAATCAGCTTTTGAGAGGACTCATTATGTAAGTACTGGTGCTGGAGTATGACAGAAGATGGAAAAGCCTGGGTTCTTGGGTCACTTGCACAATGGTTGGTTTAGAGGGCTGTGCAATAGCACCAGAATATCTTCAGCATTCCTTAACATGAATTGGAGACGTGAAGGTTGTTCCCTGAAAAATCTGTCTGATATCTGCTAGTTCATAGAAATGTGATTGCTTGATGATGATGAGAGAGACTTGGATCAGTCTGTAAGCATGTAATAAGAACAACAAGTCCTTTCTTACAATTAAGTGATCAGGATGGTTCAGTCAGTTTTGAATGTCACCAATGTTGTTACAATAGTAACATGTTGGTTCCATCAACCCATGTGGTTAATGGGAACCTGGACTGTTTTTCTTATCTAGATGTATAATTATGCCTATAACTGCCTCAAGAGAAAAACAATTAAAAATACATATGCAATAGAAAGTGTGTATTGCATACAGATTTATATAAGTACTTACTACCTATTAAATATAATTACATATGTAACAAATTTCTCAGCATAGATACAATATTTTAGTGGAAGGAGGAGAAAAAAGAAATACACGCTTTCACAATGTGACAATAAGCATACTACATTTGCTACAAAAGCATAAGAAACCAAGTGAAACGACTTAGAAATTGTAGCCAGTAATGTTGGATTTATCTGCTTACTTTTCTCCTTTTTTTCCACCAGATTTTGGAGATTGGCCATCATAATTTATGCCCATTTATTACTTTCAATATGTTTAGGATTGTAGCCATGCTATTATATATATATATATATACTGTATGGTTATTATAATAGAAATATTTGCTGTTATGTTTTTAGATGTTGCTATTTTCAGTATAACTTTTCATTAATTCTCTGCCATAAGAATTTCTTTCTATCTCGGAAAACAGAACATCTGTTATATGCACTCCTGAAAGTATCACATTCCACATTCAAAGCAAATGATGTATATTTGCCACTTCACCTATGCTGTACAACCATTGCCACCTTTTAAAAAATGTGGCTAGGGGTTCTGGCTATTTAATACGAGAAACAGTTAAGGCTCCATTTGGGGCAGTGAATGGGCAAGTCAAGTCAGGTGACATACTCAAAATAACCTCAGAGATTTCAGAATAATTTCTCACATTTTCAAAAGTCACTTTAAATGAAATTAAGTCAACTTCAGGCAAATCACTGTTGAAAACAGGACTAGGCAAGCTTTACTGGATATTAGCTTTTACAGTTTGTTGTGACTCACTCTATGATTATGCAGTGCAGTTGTTCGCAATCAGCTGAATTGAAAAGTTAGTTCCCAGGGCGGTCTTTCTTTTGTGTACAAAGATAAGCTTGCGTATGCAGGTGTCAGAACCTGTTCTCTCTATCACACTGTATTGATGTTTGGAGGGGAAAAAAAAAAAGTCTGACATGACACTGATCATCTTTAACTCTGCATATTTCTGTGCATAAGCAGCCCTATCACTCTCAACACTTTGCTAGTAGCTCATTATAAAAATGCAAAGAATAATGTCAGCATCTCTGTTTCCATGAATATTTTGACATTCACACCTCCGCTGATGGGTGCCTGAATAAACAAGCCACGTGAGCTGCACAGGTGCCTGGGCCCCAACCCTAGCCCTAGGGCTCCTGCTCCATTGAGTGCTGAGGTGGAAGGTACAGCAGGTACAAGCCTTGTGCAGTAGGTGTGATCATGTTGTGACACAGGGTCTGTGTGTTAGCAACTGATGAGAGGAGCCTTGCTTTATCTTATCAGCATGCATAGTCTGGATTTAAAGCTTTTTCAGTGGAACCAAAATTGTTCCAGTGAGTGCCTTTCACAAATGCAACTGCATGGGAAAAAAACTTCACTTACTCCCCTACTCTCAACACATTTTGGAGTCTCTGCTCTAACTCAAGGAATAAGGCAGACATACATTAAATTAATTTGAAGAAATATTTTAAAATTGTGTTGTTGAGAGAAACAGTGAGGTGATTACAAAGCACAGAGGATCTAAGAATGGCAGTATTTTTGTGTATGGAATGGTCTACAGCTCTTCATTGCAATTCCACCCCTCCCACCCCTCCCCCCATCTCCTTCAATACAAACTCATCCATTGCAAAACTACTCCAGTCACTGATTTACATGCTTGTGATCAAACTTTCCTGCTTCTAGTACTGTGAGCATTTTATAAGGGATAGTTGCAATTCCTAGATGGACTCAACGTGTCTGCTCCCATGCTGCTCTGCAGCTGCTTTATTATGCTTCTGGCTTCTCAACAGTGATTTCAGGAGTCTCATCATAGGATGAGACTATAGAAATGAATCTCTTAGAAGAGCTCACTAATATTTTGATGATCTAATCTGCTTAGCTGCACTGTGCCTTATGCTTTTTTATTGATATGGGAAATGCCCATATCAATATTAGTAGATACAGCTAATTTTTCAAGGCAAGGTTAGATGATACTGGTCCTTGCCCCAGAACAGTGTCAACTGCCCCACCAAGCTGCCTGATTCGTACTATGTCATGTGTGCTTATTAGCCTAGACATATGATGTGGGGTATCACATAGAAGATGAAATATGCCATATTCTGTAGCTGCATGCGCTTTTTATGAGGATACTTTTTTTTTTTTTCTTCCAGTTTGTTTCCACTTTTATAACAATATCCCACAGCTAGGCATTACACAGGCTATTCCATGATATTCTTTCTCGAGCTCCTAATATGAATTTACAAATGGAGAGCTAGGAGAGTTACAGATACACTCTTTTCCCCCAGCCTCCTACTCCTCTTGCTCAGAAGTGGCATAACAAATGCTGCTATGGCACGGTACTGGGAATGCAAACATATTGATATTGTAGTGGAAAATTGTGGCAGTTGCAAGAGGGAAAGCCCCAGGTAGTTTTCTGGAGCTAAAGCACAGTCGCAGTCATTTACAGCTCCATTGTTTGACCCTCAGCAGAACCCACAGCCATTCAAGTACTTTCTGTCTTACAGACATCTCTTCAGGGAGTGAAGACACAGAAACCAGTGGCAGCTATGCACTATCCCTATACCTGGTGTAACAGTTTCGTGGATTGGCTGCTTTTTGCCCATATTTGAAGTTCAGGCTTATAGCTTGAGAGACTTCCTTGTAGCTTGTTGAACATTGATAGAGTTGCGTTCTAACCAAATCTGTTATTACGTAAAGGCCTCAGACTTCACTTCCTCTAAATAGTTTCTGTTTACTGCTTCAGATTTTCACAGCCTTCAGAAGAGCTGCTCTATTTTTTCTCCAGGGACAGCTGAGGAAAGTCTAAGTTATGTGGTGAAGCTTCCTATACAAGCAAGGTGAGGAATGAGGATGCTTTTATTAAAGTTTTTTTTTTTTACAAGGTTGTTCTGTGTTAAGTGGGGCCTGCTACTGTTCTTAAATTTATAGTTTTTGTTTTACCTATTACATACTAGCTGAGGCTGTCAAAATCCAGCTGAGCATTGTATTCAGATCCACAGGTGGTATGATGGTCTCCAAACATCTCAACCTGTTGTGTTAGCAGGCTGAAAGCATTTCAGGATCTAAGATACTATGCTGAAAGAACCAAAATAACAATGTATTTTTTCATTCTGTACAAAAGTGCCCAGTTAATTAAATTCAGAATCTAAAGATACATTTTGCAAATGTGTATCCACGTACATATATCTGCTAAATTCCCTGTTTCCATTTTTTATTTCAATTTCAAGACAATTTTGAAATAAATTTTTGTACAAACATCTTGTTGTGCCCAGCCAGAGACCACTTCTTAACTTGAACTCCATTTGGGCATACGTGGAAGACTTGTATGGCCTGGAAAAAGCCATTACAAAAGCTCTAAGCTCTTTGTTTAATAACTTCACTACATTCAAGAACAGTTGATTGATTTACCAGCAGCACCCTTCTCTCTTGTAAAATGTCTGTAAAAGGAATAATCAGTATACTGATATGTTCAGTCATATAGTATGGAGGAGAGGAAATAGCTGGAGCCCTACAGCTGAGAGGAGTGTTGGGAATTCCTGCTCTTTGGAGAGGGACAGGCAGATGGCAACAAGAAAGCTCTGGGCAAAGCTGCAGAAGGGCCAGTCCTGTAGAGGAGAATCTGACATGGACAAAGCTCTAGAAACCTTTGTCTATGGAGAGAGGGGCAAAGCATGATGGAAAAACAGGAAGGGACAAAAAAAAAAAAAAAAAAAAAAAAAAAAAAGTAAATCTCTGAGAGACAGAAAATTACTTAATGACTTCTGCATATTGCTAAGTGCAATCAAAGATTGAGAGAAATTAAATACAGCCTGTTAATTGACTCTATTTTAATTAAATAATGATTTGGGACATTAGCACCATGAACTGCAATGTTGAGTCTGAGTGGACAAAATCATAGTAGAATAAGCTGCTGAAAAGCGACTGAGAGAACAGTAAGTATTTCATTTAGCAGCCTTCCCAACACGTACAACCAATTACATCCAAAGTTTTGGTTGCAGGGGTGCAAATCGCTAAATGTCATTTGCATAGTTGCTGTGCAGTTAGATGCTCTCAAGGGTTTGCTTTAGTCATTCAGAAATGCTTATTGTTCTCTGAACAATGAGAAACATGACTTGCCTGAAAAGAAATTTGCTTCTTGTACTGTAGGGTGAATTTTTTATTTATTGGGAGAGAGCTGTTTGTACTGAGTTTTTTGGATGTAGGATAGTGAAGAAAAATCACACCAGAAAGCCTGCACCTGCAATAATATCCTGGTAAATTGCCCACACAAAGGCATGGGACCAAAAATATCTAGGAAGGTTCAGGGTAAGCACTGGAAACAAAGAAAAAAAAAGAAAAAAAAAGAAAGAAGTTAAAGTTAAATCCAGATTCGTCTAGGAACATTTGCATCATATAACAGTTGAGTAAACAAAAGAAAGGAGACTGAGCTAATTGAAGAAGCAGCCATTCTGAACACCACCTCCTTCTTGACACCACCAGCAAGCAACAAAGGGAGGAGCCGTAATAGTACTGTGTTTGTTTGGCACGGAGTGGTGGCTATATGTGTTCACATCCTAATCGCTAGAGCAATCGTTGTTGTTCGCAGCTCCATTTCATTTCCTTGGCCGAGCACTCCTGGGATTTTGGACTGTGATCTCATTATTTGCTTGGCTCTGCCATTCGTTGCATTATGTACCTGCTCCAGCGGATATCATCAACTCCTAATACTTCTGTGCTACACAGAACAAATCATTTGCATTTGAGTAGGTCGCTATGGCTACTGGCTACCTACATCTGTACAAGCCAAAAACTAAAGGTGCTCTGCAGAATTCAGACAAGGATCGACTGTTCAATCTTTGAGATCCTATCTGCACCTATTGTTATTGCCAACAGCACATACTTGTGTAGGCTTGATTAGGCTCAATCTCTCTCTTCCCATTTTGGATTAATATTTAGAGACTCTTTCTCAGGGCTGCCAGCTGACTCAAAAGGAAAGACTGTCTCTAGAGGACACTTGTATGACAGTAAGCAGATTAATTATACCTGCAGTGGTTCAAGGTGAATCATGAAAGCCTAAAGGTTTGCCATTAAAATTAATTCCATGCTATTAGAAAATACAAATTCCTGCTGGAGTTGTCTGGAACAAATTGCTAATTTATGTGTAGAAGTTCCCAGAGTACAGAAGAGCTCCTTAGCTGGGACCAATGCAGAAGGTGCCTATTCAGTAAAATTCATCTCCTTGGCTTCCAAAGGTTCGCTCAGAAATACTAACCTTAGTGCTTCGTTCTGCTCCCTGCATGAATCACAAAGGCAGGGAAACAGTGTTATCCACGGTGAAGAAAATGTGGAGACTGAAGTGAAGTGACTCCAGAATGAGACAGTGAGTCAGCATTAAAGGCTGGACCAGAACTCAAGTCTGCCAACATGCAGCAGTGAGAACAAAAGAAATCATCCTAGTGAAAGCACTGGCTGTAGTGTTATCCTGAAAGAATCTGACTGAGGAATCGTCCTTAATATGAATAAGATACAGCAGAGGCTGATAACAAGAATTTTGCTGGTGTGCATGATAAGAAGTCTCCATGATGAGAAACTCAGTGAACATTAGGAAATGGCATGTATTCTATAAAACCACTTGCACACCTGAGGAGACATCTGGCAATGCTGTAAATGCATCCGTGCCACAGGCTGTCTGTTTTCTGTTTAGGACTTGTGTAGGAGTCCTCCAATTAGAACCATGGGAGCATTAAGGGGAAATGTGTTGCTTAAAACTATTTGAATGTTCCAAGTCTATACTGCTTTTTCCTTCCCCAGTAAATACCTTATCTTAGCTATTATGTTGGGAGGGGAGTTGGAGAATACTGAAATTTCCCTGTGTCCCCTCTCCCATATGAATGGACTATATTTGGTGAGAAAGTATATGTCTGATCCAAAAACATGCTGCTTTGGTAATGGCAGCAAGGTATTGGTGCAATGGAAAAACAATTTATTTATTTATCACTGTATTTCATGAGGTTATGAACCAGACTATGGTATTTTGTTGTCTTTTTGGGAATAACGTCAGCATTTGTAGGTAAGATCAACTTACTTCATGGGTGTGCTCATAACAAATTGTCTAGATTAACAATGATTACATATACATCATATATTAAAGGTAAAAGTCTGTATAATAATATTTGGCATCATTTGCACGGGAAGATACAGAGGCAGAGCACAAAAGTGGCAAAAAAAAATGAAGACTGATGTGCATGCTTGGTCATTGTTTTGAATGCTATTACATTCAGATTGAATAACAGAAATCACATCTGGATATAGTTTGCAATTGTTTGCTCAGATTATCTTATGTACCCCCTATCATTCTGTTATCCAGCCTGTACTGCCCTCTTCTTAGGGAATATATACTCATTACTCATCCTGCTGTGCAGTGGTAGTGGTTTTCATAGCACTCCAGCTATGACTAATTCCAAGGCCTGGTTATTTCAATCCCAAGAATTTCTATCCAAATAAGACAGATTAGAGAAAGCAAGGCAAAAAGCATACTAGACTTTCTGTATAGATACTGAAAGAGGAAAGAGAATGGAATATAGGACACAATTTCTTTGTTTTCTATCAGCAGGTCATCTCTTGATTTTGTAGACCTTGCAAATGACTTTCAAAGGGGTCTTTCGTTATGGCCTTGGTAAGTCTTGTCACTGGTTTGTATTAATGGGCTGAACCTACATCTTAGGCCTTCCTGAACCTTTGACTTTTCCACACATTTTCACTTGAGCCTGTACCACCCTGAGGTGTGTGACCTCATGGCTCTGCCCTTCTCCCAGTGAAGGGCAGAAAGGGCCCACCACGAGGGAGGATGTAGGCTTGGCTCATCCAGAGAAACTGCAGTTGAAATACTGTTGGGATTCAGAGCTAGGAAGAAGTGTTTGCAAAGAGCTACCAAGCCAATAATATATATAATAGAAGAGTGACATGAATCTATTTTGGTCTTCTATCCATGTGGAAGCTGGATTCTTTTTTTTTTCTTTTTTTTTTTTCTTCTTTTTTTTTTTTTTCAGAACTTATAAAGAGCTTCCTTCTGATTGCCTCCATTGTTTCTGGGAAGAATTGTTTTTGAATGACCTCCATCAGCTCCAGCAGGATGTTGCTGATTTGCAACCACTGTGCTGCCTTTCTTCTGGCTGGGTTTAGAAGCCAACTGGTTGGGAACATTTGCATAGTAAATCCTTCCCTAACCCCTTAAAGCCATACAATCATTATCCTAACAAGCAGATAACAATATTCAATTATTACAGCTAAACCTGCCATTGTTGTTATTTAACCAATTTTAATTTACAAGTTGTGTTGTGTCATGGGTCTATTTCTTAAAAGCACCTACTTAATTACACTGGGATATACTTCACATCTGTACACAGGGGAGGGAGGGGCCTCAGCTGTTAGTTGCCAGAGACCGCTCAAATTCACTGAGTGTGACTCAAGCAATTCCCCAAAGCCAGGGTACACTGTCAGTTCATTCATTTGTATGAGAAATGTCATATTTGCATGAGAATGATCTTCTGAATCTAAAGCTTGCCTATGGGGGTAAAATGCTGTGGTGCTGAGGTGCCTTCCCAAATATTTCAGCCCACCTGACCCTGCAATTGTCGGCTTCAGTCCCATAAACGTCCCTCTGAATCAGATGAAGCTTGGACTGAGTCTCAGTGGATTTCTGCTTTGACTTGAAAAGAACATGGACATAAGTCTGCTGGAGTTCAAAATGCATTTGGACAATACTCTCAGGTGTAGGTTTTGAATTTCAGGTAGTCCCATGTAGGGCCAGGAGTTGGACTTGGTGATCTATGTGTGTCTCTTCCAACTAAGTGTAATCTGTGGTTCCACAAGAAGAGTGCTGAGGACGATGCAGCCCAGACTTCCGTCCCCAAACCGCATGCTTGGGAGACTTCACTTGTCCCTTCTGTGACCAGGCTGAACTTCCCTGTTGCACAGGAGGTCTGTTAACAGTGTTCTTGTGGGCCTTAGTGGGAGTAGAGAGCCTGCCATAAGGTCAGCAGTTCAGACAGAACGTTCCAGGTAACATCAAACTGGATTTCATAGAATTATAAAATATTCCAAGTTGGAAGGGACCCAGAAGGATCACTGAGTACAGCTCCTGGCTCCACACAGTGCCACCCAAAGACTGTATGTCTGAGAGCATTGTCCAGATGCTTCTTGTACTCCAGCAGCTTGGTGCCTGTTTCAGGGCCCGACAACCCTTCTGCTTGCAAGCCACGTGAAAAAGGACTGAAGTTCGATTTCTTCCTCGTTCAGCTGCTGTGAGACTTAGTTCAGTCAGTGCTCCTGTGTGCATTATTTCTCAGTGACTTCCACAAATTTTGCATTGATCTTGCAATTAGCAGTAAGCAAAGCAATGCCGGGGGTCACTGCTATCTTGCCAGCGGAAGGCTGAGGCCTCAGTTATGCGCTCAAGTGTTTTGGACACAGATTATGTATTGTGTGAGAGGCTGAGCAGGCAGACACTCCACCTTCAAGACATTCTAAGGTCTGCCCGGTTCTCCGTAGGACCGAGCCCGGCCCCGAGGTGCTTTCACCGCACAGTACCGCCCCGAGCCGCCGCGGGCCGGTGCTGCTCCGCCCGTGCGCGGCCGCTAGGGGTCTCCGCGGGGCGGGAGGGCCGGGCCGGGCCGGGCCGCGCTGCACCGCCCGCTCGGGGGCGGGCCGGGCCATCAGCTGACCGGCCCCACCGCGGCGCTCAGTGGTGCCGCTGCAGCTCAGTCGCTCTCCTCGGCAGCGGCGCGGCCCCGCGGATTTACTGCCGTAGCCCAGCGCGTCCCGCCGGCCGGCCGCCCTTCTCCCTCCTCCCCCTCCCCTCTCGGCCGCCGCGATGCTGCCCCACTTAGCCCTTCTGCTGCTGGCCGCCGGCGCCGCCCGGGCCCTCGAGGTAAGCGGGGCAGGGGGCGGTCGGGCGAGGGCTCGCTCCCGCCGTCCTCCTGCGCCTCCCGAAGGCTTTGTCTGCCCGGAGCCGCCCCTGCGGCGGGGCTCGGCGGAGGTCCCCGGTGCCTGCCCGGCGCCGGAGCGTCCTTCCCCGGCCGCCGGCGAACAATAGGGCCGCTCCCGCCGAGCGAGGGGGCGGCGGGGGCAGAACGGAGGCAGAGAGAGGTCGGCGGCTCTCGCGCATCGCTGCCACCCGGCTGCCCGCGCCCACCGCTGCTTTCGGGCTTTTCGGGGGGACGGTGCGCGTCCCCGGGGGTTCCTCCGCCGATGGTCGGGGAAGGGAAACTTTGCCGTCCGGGCGGGGGGCGCGGGGCCTCGGGGGGCGGCGGGCGGAGCGGCGGGCGGGGGAGGCACCGCTCCCGCCCCGTCGCGCACCACCCTCGCAGGTGCGCGGGGCGGCGGCGAGGAGCCCCCGGCGGGGCTGGCGCGGCAGCCGGGCGGCGGGGACGCGGGGCGGGGGCGGTGTGCCGTGCCGAGCGGAGCCGTGCGGAGCCGCGGGGCGGGTTTCCCTGCGGCGGGGCGGGCTGGGGCTGCGCGGCGGCGAAGCGCGAGAAGATGGCGCCGCTGCAGTGCAGCAGAGGGGCGCCGTCATGCGAACGGCGGACGGCCCGGCCGTGGGCGGCATCGCCCTCTTCTTCTCCTGCCCCGCTGCCCAGTGCTGCCAGGGCAGCACCGGCCCGGCGGCATCCTCCGCTGAGGTCCCGTGGGGCGGGGGCGGGTGGGCTCCTCTTGTTCCCCCAGGGCTGAGAGCAGAGGGCAGCCGGTGCCGCCCGGTGAAGGTGTGCGGGGAGCCCTCTGCTCCCAGCCTCTTCTGCCCCACGAAGCCCGCGGGACTGGCACCCGGCGCTCAGCCGGGACCCAGAGCCCGCAGCTCGGCTCGCTGCCGGGCGGAGAGCCGCGGGACCCGGTTATTCTTGGGGACCTGCCCGTCCCTGTGCCCTATGCTGCTCTTCCAGACATGGGCTGGGAAACACTGAGCAGGGTTGTGAAGAGGCTCAGGGCTTTATGGCTTCCAGTTATAAAACTCGTTTGGGTGTTAGCTTGATGCAACCGTTTGTTGCCTGAAAGTAATAGAAGGAAATCTCTGCCTTGGGTGCTTAGATGGAGCCAAATAAAGGAAAATAGAATTGGAACAGTGCTTCAGGTAGCAGTGCCCGTCTCTGTGTGGTCCATTGGATCTCTCTGTCCCTAGCCTTAGATGTGTGTGGATATATATATCCATATATATATATATATACATGGAAAAAGGTATAAAGTTGGAGGCACTGTATGAGCACTTAGAAGAAGGAGGGCTTGGGTTTTGCATCAAAGCCATTCTGAGGAGAGCCTGCATTCAGCTGCAGCCCCATCCTTTCCGTGATGCCTGCTGGAGTAGCATCCAGAATTTTCAGAGACGTTCTTTGCCTTGAAGTAGTTGTTTAAATGGGCAGCAGTGTTTGTGCAGAAGCTTTCCATCTTGTTCTGGCAATTCATAACAGTGTTTGTGGCTTTGCAGTTTTCCCCTTTTTTTCCTGTTTGGTGGTGGGTTAGTTTCTAATATCTGGTAATCTTGTGATTAATCTTGGTTCTTTGTATCTTGATACACTGAAGGTTGACAATTTGAACAAGTGGCTGCTTTTATAATATTTAAATATTTCATAACAGGAATTGCATGCACACATTTACTGCACTTGCATTGTCTTTGTGTGCTAAAGTGTGAAATTTTTGTTTGAATTAGATTTGAGATCTCATCTCCAGACTCAACCGTTTCTCCTGCCATTTTAACAAACGCATTTTGGAAAGCAACAGAAGAACATATCTGTGTTTTCAGAGGGAGTGTGGCAGAAGGAGGAGGGAAAACAAGAACAAAATTAAAAGCCTTGCAATATTACACACAAGAAATTCCATTCTTAAATTATGGGTAGATTAATATTCTGCATCTCTGAAGGAAATACACCATAGTGATGCTACAGCGATGTCGCAGTTGCTTAGCATGCTACTTGCAGCCAAGTGAATCATACTTGGAGGGGGTAGGAAGCCACTGGGCAATTGTTACCATTCAATTTCATCCTAGGTATTGTCTGATTTCAGTAGGTAAATGCAGTAGACAGTAGCTGTGTATTTGAGTGAATGATCTCAGTTTGGCATGTTGAGATTTCTTCTAATTAGCACACAATTGGGGTGTCGATTTGTCGTGCCTAGAACTGCTGTAGATCCATGTTTATAAACGGGACTCTTGTGCCAGCAAACTGAAATGGAATTACTAAGACATTGATAGCATACAAGCAGGCCCTCAGGAAGTAAGCTCACAAGAAGCATATTGCCTGGCAGCTTTTTTATAAAACTGTCTAATGCTGTGATTTCTAAGCTTTTATTTTTTTGTCTCTTTTTAAATGGAAGCTCCAAGTACTCGTTTCTTAATTGTTCAGTTTTAAGTAGATCTTTGAAAATGACTTCCTGTAACATGGGCAGTAAAGGAAGCTTTTCTTTTGCCTCCATTACAGAATTTGAGTTCTTTCTTCTGCTTCTGTTCTTGATCCTTCTCTGGGAAATGTTTTTTTTTTTTTTTGTTAAGAGATCCCCTTTGAACTTCCTCCTTAAAATTCTTCAATGGCAGGGCAGGCATTATGGATTCTGGTGCATTGGCAGTCAAATGGATAAATTAAAGGAGGGAAGAAGGGAGCTTCTCCCTCACTGCCCTCCTTGTCTTTTAGGTAATGAGCAACAATTTCTAGACTTTTGTTCTCTTTAGATGTGTTTTCTGAAGGGAAAAATCATCAGCTGCCTTACTCCTCATAGAGCATGTATGAAGGTGACAAGATTGTGAAGATTGTGAGATTTTTTTTTTTTCTCCTCTCCCCCTCCACCATTAGCTATTTATGGGACAAGTGTGGGTGACCTTTCTTAACTGCTTTAATGAAGCAGTATTCTGATTTGTAGGGGAAACCAGTGGGAAGTGGAGGTCAACTTCATGATGGCTTTTCTCTTGGCTTGTGTTTAAAAACTGTTGGGGACAAATAGTTTGTATGTTTTGCAAAGAAAAGGTACAAAGATTCCTTCTAATTGTCCATCCTTTTAAAATACAAAGCTTGGCAATGTACTTTCAGAGCATAAATATTTCATTGAGCTGTTTGATGAACTGGCAGGTGTTTTTCTTGACAGAGTCATTTCTCAGTGGCTCAGTAAAATAATTAACGCAAGCTGTTGAGTATGGAGAATTGTTCAAGAAATTAGTTGATAGGATCACAGGATTTCTCAGGATGACTCTGGTTCAACCTCCAAAAAAGGGCCAGTTCTGGACGCTCAGCCAGGCTACCTGGGGCTTTCTCCAGGCAGGTCTGAAGATAGAGTCCCAAAGGCAGAGCCTAGGGAACCCTGATGAGTCCATGGTAAG